GAGAGAGAGAGAGAGAGAGAGAGAGATGTATTATGATGTATGTATATATTATAAATAATCACAGGAAGTTAATTATAACCTGTGTCTGCCTGCAAGTGCCTCTGTAAACCATGCCAGTGAACTGACTCTTGCAACTTTAACACGTGTAGCCTCATAACTATTTTCGGATACTTTTATGTACATCATAAGTAAGCAGTATTTAAAGTAAGGTAAGCTATATTATTCAAAATTACATTCTACATAAATTTGATGTGCTTCCCATCATCCTCTTCCTCATGAATAATAAATAGATGAGCAGACCAAAGAGTGAACAAGTGTTTTAGACAATGTGTTAAAAAATGTCCTTTCCGATACAAAGCATCCAATTTGCCTTTATTTCTATTTATACTGATATAATCTCTTCAATCAGTTGTTAATTTAACTTTGAAATACATGAACTTTGGGAAAATATGCAATGGAAGTTCTAGTAGATCCAAAGAAAAGATGCCGACTTGCAAAAATGAATTTTTTTGTTGAGGATATATATAGAAATTTTAAAAGATGCCATTGAAGAAATGTTTTTCTATTATTTTATGTCATATGCATGATGCTCTAACAGTAATTTGCTCATGTCAAGTGAAACATACAGCATTAAAGACAGAATTCTCTCTATTTATAACATTGGCAATGTAAAGGTACTTTGTTTCGGAATGGACAATTTTTAACAAGCATACCAAAAAAGGCCACAGTTAAATGGGTTTCTGTGCACTGGGGTTTTCTTATATAAAAATAAATATCACATGTCCTGGGCTTTAGAGAAATATATATTGTTACAGGCTAGGTGTCAACATGTTCTTTTTATGTAAGAGAAACCCAATGTTTCGGAATGGACAAATTTAATGGAAAAACACGGTAGGGTTATTTTGCACTCCATGTCAAGCTCCAGAATCATCACGCAGATTTCATTATTTGATACAAACAATACCAATACATCCAAATAATGATTAGGATGGTTAATTATACTGTATGTTTTATGATATATTTTCTGAAAGTAATTTATTTTTGTTTCGGAATGGACATTTCGTTTAACGGAAATACCAGCATGCCATTAAAAGACTTTTTTTTCTAGGATAGACTTCTCTCCTGTTAATATTTAAACTTTTTTGCTTCCACCATACTACTGAGTGTTTTATAATCCAAAAAAATGCAATGTCAAACACTGTTTTAATTTATTTCAGATTGCTTTTTATTTCATATGACTAAAACGGGAAAAATTTTTGGTCATTTTTCGGCTTTGCTTTAGCATAACTTTGGACTCGGTGTGATATTTGGTTTCTATTTTCAGTGTTTATTTTCACTTACACCATTCTCTAACATAGTGATAAAAGAATTCTTTGATCATATGTATGTAATTTGTTAATTAGCAATATGTGGGAAAATCTGAAAAGTGCCCAGGATTGTAAAAATGCCCATAAAAGGAATTTATGTTAATAATGAGGTTGTACTTAAATTTCACACTCCCTGTTATGCAATGGTTTACCAATTGCAGTTTTCAATCAGCTGTTTGAATAGTTTTTAAAGTTCATGACCAGTTTTCAGCTTAGAAAAAAAGGATGGAAAATGCCTTGTCTGGTTCAAGTGGCTTGTGGCTCATGTTTTTTTCTCCTATCCATGGAGACAGAGCTAGAGAATGATTTAATAGGTAACCCAATAGGGCTGATGTGCAGGCAGGCAGTTAACTAGGCATTCTATAGAAATTCAGCACCCAGGCTAATGGTATCATATGGCATTGATGAGGGGGTCATTTATTTATCCAGGCTTTCAGGAACATTATTTATTCTGATGGTGACAGAGACACATGCAAATCAAATAGTTCTATTAGATAATGAGTTAAATTTAGGTTATTGGTCAGCACTCTCTGTCCTAATAGCATCCTGCACAGACCCTAGTGGTACCTGTGTACCCAGCAAATGCAGAGTTATTTCAACATTACCACAACGTTTATATAATCAAGAAATGTTGGTAACATATTATGGTGTGGTAACATATTATGGTGTGGTTACAATACGTTAATGTGTTTGCTGGGCAGGTCCATTAAAACAGTATATTTCCAGAGTGTCAGCTGTGCTTAGATGTCACAATTTTTGCTTAACCAAAACAAAGTTGTACAACTCTTTGACCAAAATAAATACACAAATATTTTTAGTGAAAAGAAACAAGGAACATGGATTCAATGCCTCATTTGTCTCAAAGTTTTTTTGCTGCTGTTTTGTGTACA